AACAATCGTAATGGAAGTAAATACAATTATTAATAAAAATAATTTGATTTTTTTTTTTAATAATATAAAATCATACCAATACCGATGAAGTACTTTAATTACAATTTCGAAGCTACGTACGTCAATTAAAAATTGACGGAAATTTGAAAGTAACATCTAACAATACTAGGTGCGTTGGGATTTTGTCTTTCAGGATTATAATCTTTCGGGATTATGATCTTTCGGGATTATGATCTTTCGGGATTATGATTTCGGGATTATGATTTCAGGATTATAAATTTTCGGGATTATAAATTTTCGGGATTTTTTTTTTTCAGGATTTAGTTTTCGGGATATTATCCCTTCGGGATTTTGTTCTTTTTGGATTTGGTACATCGGGATTTAGTACCATCGGGATTTCGATGTTCGGGATATTGACCCAAAATCATGCGAAACTGGTCACCAGGTCATGAAGAATATATAATTAACATGATGGGCTTCGATCTTTCATATCTACTAATTTTTTATTCTGATAGGCGTTGTTTATTAATATAAAAGTAAATAAAAAGCTACAATATGCATTATGATGTTGTTTTTTTTTCGCTTACGGCGTTTTAAATATACCTATTTGAACTTTGAAGTTAGAATCGGGAGTTTTGGGCCCATTATATTGGGCAGTTTTATCCATTTTGTCCAGAAGCGTGACCATCTCCTTTAATCTCTGCTGAAAATTATACAACACTTTAAACAAGTTTTGCGTTTCACATAATAAGTTTGGTCCCGCTTCGATTGGTAAAATAACATTTTCTACACTTCGGACTCGGTAAAAGGGATAAAATTCATAATCCATAATTGAAAATGTTAAGTTGTAACCTAATAATTTATTTATATAAGTGGATTGAAAATAGAGTAAAATAACGAAATATTTGCAGTACCATGGGATTGTAGAAAAAACAAGTTAACTTTTCCGTTAAATGACCTCTCGTCAAAATCATGCTTATATTTAAAATAAGAACTAAAAAAACAATTTCCCAATTTCATTAATCGAATTCGATTTTCTTCTATATGGGTGACATTATTCGGTCTGTTAGGTCCATATGAGGTTTCTCCAAAAAAGAGCTCATATCTAAACCTTTTGTTATCAATAATTTGGTGACTGGGGAAATAACAATAGAAATCGCCTTTTTTTTGTAGACCTCTTTCATGTACGGTAGACAATATTACTCCATTATCCCTAAAAAGAAGAAAAAAGCTTTAGTGGTATATAAAAAATTCTGGCACAATACACACAAATAACAAATTTTACCATTGGTAGGTTAATCTTTCAGTATTATTAAGCAAAAATTCAATGATTGGATTGATAATCTGATGGTTCCATGTGCTCTCCAAGATAATATCGTTATTACATATAACCTGTGACCTTCTAAATCGATAAGAAGAACTAAAAGAAAAAAGAATATTTAAATGTAGTAATATTCATCTCTTATCGTTTTAGATAAATAGTATTTTTGTTAAAACATATTTACAAGCTATATAATAGTGCTCGTATAGCACGATACATTTTTAATTCTTCCTTAAAGGCTGGATCATAAAATTTATCTGGTATTCTATCATCATCGTTTGTCACAATACACCGTATATAATTACTATAATTTTCAGGAACCTCTTCAAGATATATTTCTTTGTTTACGCTGTCCCATAATTCTCTTTCAATAAGGTGAGATTTCAACTGTACTGGAACACAGCGAAGATCAATTATCCCGGATAAGAGAGAATCATCTTTTTTTAAATCCATATAATGTATAGTTTCGCAAATACATTTTGCAATTTCGTTCATTTTACAACCTTTTAACTTAAATCAGTGTATTGATGAAATTGTAGCTAGATCAAAAGAAGCTTACGTTTTTTATATCATTTAATGCACTTCTAACATTTGTGTTTACGCCTTCAATATTTGCATAACTTTCAATAGAATACTCGTTAGCATAATTATGCTTATCAACTATTTCGAGAATTCTTTGAGATATTTTGTCAGTCCTAGAGGCCTCTTTTATAACCCGAATCTCATTTGTTATTTCTTCCCAAAATGGTTTGACTTTTTTTCTATTTATAAAGATTATTTAAAAAAAAATAATTAATAGAATATCATCAAAACTCAATCTGTTATAAATAAATACTATAATTTTCAGAATTGCCCAGGTGTCTGCCGAGGATATAAACTTAAAAGGAGGTGAGTTGTTTAGTCTATTAAACGCCACTACACCTCAGTGAAGAAATATTTAAAGACAACAAAGCCACTCCAATTCGAAAAAAATCCTATAACCTATTAAACGCTACTACACCTCAGTGAAGAAATATTTAAAGGTTTGTAAATTTATTCTATTAATTGCACTACACCTTAGCGAAATCAATTTCAAAAGAAAGTCTTATCTAAGAAGCTTTTGCCTAACCGGTTAAACGCTACTACACCGCAGTGAAGAAATGTTTAAAGGCCCGACAAAATCACAGACTTTTGCGGTTTCATCATAGATATAATAGATACTAGGTGTATAAATATATTATTCATACCATATTTTCTGTTATACTTGTATTTGTATGAATCGAATAAAACTCGTGCAGATGCTTTTTTATAGTTATCACATCTTCACGAATACTAACATGCCCGAAAGCAAAACTACATAATACAAATACAAAGAATTTGTTAGGTGAACTTATTTCTTTTTTTTCACGGATATTATCTATAATTTTTTTTATTAAATTTTCATTTCTCATTTTTTATCTCCGAAAGTTACATATCTAGTGATTATTAGGGATGTTAAAAAGTCCGTCTGGTCCAGTCCCAGTCCAGTCCTTAAAAAGTCTGGTCCTGAACTAGAAACTAGTTCATAACCCCTGTTGAAACCGGTCCAACTCTAGTGGTTTTAATATACTGTACAATGCATATAATTTTGTAATTTTGTATTATACG